GGTATGCATTTCTATCCTATGTGGTTCATGACATGGCACAGGAGCAAAAGGCTCAAGCGAGCTCCCCCAGGGAGCTTTGAATGGGCCCTGTGATTTAATAAACTCCCTAAGGCTCTGTCTCCCAATATCAGTGTGTTGGGAGTTAAGTTTCAAATGTAAGAATTTTGGGGAAACACACGCATGCAGACTATTGCAGAAAATTTTTGAAATTAGGTCATTGTCTTGCTATGGAGTTGTTTTAGATATCAACCTCTCAGTCACTGTATTTTTTTTCAAATATGTTCTCTCATTCTGTAAGTTTGTCCCCTCGCTCTATTCACTGTTTCCTTTGCTCTAAGGAACCTTTTTAATTGGCTGCAATAGCATTAGTTTATTTTTGCTTTTTTGTTTACACTTTTGAGATGTTATCCATAAGACACTGTTCAATAGAAAATTTCCCCTATATTTTCTTCTAGTAGTTTTGCATTTTCAAATCCTAAGTCAAAATATTTCATCTACTTTGGATTACTTTTGAATATGGTGTGAGATAATGACTTGATTTAATCCTTATGCACTTGGATAATCAGTTTTCTCATTGCCATTTTTTAAACAGACTATCTTTTCTGTATGTATGTTCTTGGCACTTTCATTGAAGATCAATTGATCATAAATACATATATTTATTTTTAGGCTTTCTGATATATTTCATTGGTCTATGTCTGTACTTATTGCTAACACCATATGATTTGGATAACTATACTTTGACAATATATTTTGATGGTGAGTAATGTACCTTTTCCAGACTTACTGTTGTTGCTAAAGTTGATTTGGGTATTTAAGGTCTTTTGTGGTTTCATGTGGATTTCAAGATTTTTCTCGAATTATGCCATTAAAATGCTGCTAGAGATTGAATTGAACCTGTAGGTCACATTGGATAGTATGGATGTTTTAATAATATTAATTCTTCCAATTAAGAACATAGGATATCTTTCAAATTATTAGTGTCTTCAGTTTCTTTCATCATTGGTTTCATAGTTTTTAATGTGAAAAACTTTAACTTTCTTGCTTATGCATTTTTATGACAATGTACATGGAATGTTTTCTTAATTTCTTTTTTATTGGATAGTTCATCATACTATGTAGTTATTGTATGTTTCTGTTTGTAAACTGCAACTTAATTTATCAGTTCTAACAATTTTCCAGGGGAGTCATCACATATTACTCTGGTGAAAGCATGCCATTTGTAACACAATTTTACTTTTTCCTGTCAAATTTGGATGACTTACCATCTTTTTTCTAGTTTGATTGCCCTAGTTAAGACTTCTATTACCACACTGAACAAAACAAAAACAAGCATCTTCGCCTTATTCTTGATCTTACAAGGGAAGCTTCCAGTTTTTCTTCTGATTTATAATATAATAAATATTGCTTCTCATAGATAACTTTTATTGTGTTGAGCTTATTTCTATATCTGTTGAGATTTTTTTGTCATAAAAGAAAGTTTTGTGGAATATATTTGTTACATCTATTGAAATTATATTTTATTTATTCTGTTAATGTTTATTTTGATTAGTTTTCAATGAACTATCCTTGCCTGCCAGGGTTAAACCCCCACTTTATTATGGTGTATTATCTGTTAGATGTGCTATTGAGTTTGATTTGCTGGTAGTTTCTTGAGGATTTTTACATCTATACTCATCAATAATGGTAGTCTGCCTTGTCTGGCTTTGGTATTAGGATATGCTAATACCTAAGTTCATAAATGAACTTGGAATTGTTTCCTCATTGTCAAACCTTGGAGATAGCTTGACAGGCATTGTACACTCTTCTTTGAATATTTGGTAGCATTTTCCAGTGAAACAGCAGTTTAGTGCTGGGTCTTCCTTGATTGAGAAGATTTTGAATAATCATTCAGTCTCCTTTTTCTTTATAAATCTGTTCCATTTTTTTCATGATTTAGTCTTAGTAGTTGTAGTAGTTTCTGTTTGCTCTTGGTTATCTTCCTTGTTATCATACAGTTGCTCATAGTATTCTACAATGATCCTCTGTATTCCTCTAGTATCATTTGTAATTTGAATCTTTGAAAATTTATAATTTTACTTGAGTATTTTTCTTAGTCTAGCAAAAGTGTTGTCTTGTTTAAAAATAACTCTTAGGGGGGCTGGGGATTTAGCTCAGCGGCATAAGCGCCTGCCTTGCAAGCAGGCAGTCATGAGTTCGATCCCTGGTACCGATAAAAATGAAAAAGACAAAAAAAAAAAATAGTTAAAAAAATAGTTAAAAATAACTCTTAGATAAATTGATTGTTTCAGTTGGTTTTGTAGTCTCTATTTGACATAGCTCTGTTTTATGACATTTTTCCCTTCTACTACTAATTTTGAACTTAATTCATTTTCTAGTTTTTTAAGATATTCGATCTTTCTTTTCCTTATGTACGTGTTGATTACTATCATCTTTATTCTTACAACTGTTTTTGTTACATCCCAATAGTTTTGATACTTTGTGTTTATATTTTTATTTGTCTCGAGATACACTTTTATTTCCCTTTCGAGTTGTTCTTTGAACTACTAGTTGTGCTAGAATTTGTTGTTCAATTTCTATGTATTATTTTTTTTTAGTGTTTATACTGCTACCAGTTTTTTAACTTCATACTAGGGGATTCAGAAAGAATATCTGATATAATTTCAATACTTAGGAAGACTCCATTGTTCCTGGGCCCTAGTGAACAAGAAAGCCCATGGGACGTTCTTAGCCTCTGCTTGTTAAAGAATTTACAACACAGCTCTGCTGGTTCCAGTAGACTATAAATCCAAGTGAGTCAGAGTATGAAGTGTCAGAATTTATCATGCAGCATAACTTTTTAAATTATTTCTAAATTATTATAAAAAGTTTTCAGGGAGTCAGAGAAAATTATCTCCAATTGCATAAATAAGTTGAGTGCAAGTTTCTTTTGTAAAACTCAGAAGATAAAAATCAAATTCATGTATGCATGTGTGTATATGTGCATGTATACAAAGTGAGAAAAAGTGACAGTGATGAGGATTTAAATTGTGGATATATTTCCTTATTCATTAACTAACATATACATCTCAGAATTATTCTTTTAAATTGTTTTACCCATTTTTTCTCCCATATTTATATAGTCTAAGGTACGATTTTAAAAAGTAGTGTCTCAATTTAAAACTGATAATTATATTTTAAAATTAAAAATTTATATTCCAATTCTAGTGAATAAAACTTTAATTACTTGTATATAGTTCATTCATAGCAGATTTTAGCATAGACTTATTTCTTCTCTTTCGTATTCTTTTACGTTTGTTTCCCTGAGATTCAATGAGATAGATAAAGTAATACAAACTGATTTGGAGGTGAAGTTCGAGGAAACATGAACTTTATATTGTTACGTCTTAACGAAGGAAATTTCTTTAAAATTCTGCTCATTCTGCAGCATGAATTAGTGAAAGTTGACCCAATAATCAACAAAGGAATTAACACACATTTACATTCAAAGATATATTTTGTACATATTTCCTCTTCTTTCTATTAACTTGAAATACATTATTTTGTGCATGCACCAGAGAAATCATTGGTGGCATTTGTGTTTGTCTTAGTTATTTTACTCATGAGATCATGAGACATGATCATGATCAAAAGCTCATGAGACAAAATATCAGACACTCCAAGTTAAGGAGGAAGGCTTTATTATGGCTAACAGTTTGTAGAGCTTTCAGTCCAGGTGTCTGACTCCAAGGCAGGGAGGGTGGTGTGGCAAAAGGATATCACACAGAAACAATAACCAATGGCATGGCAAGCAGCAGCAGCAGCAGCAGCAGCGACTCTGCCTTCGCTCTCTCCCTTTATATCCCATTAGGGCTGTGAGCCTATTGATGGGTGCCACCAGCACCCATTATCCCCTCCAGAACTGTGCTAAACTCATTTATCTGTCATACATCCTTAATCCCAGTGTCACATACCCTAGATTTAGACACCTCTGAAAAGCTCTCCCTATGAGCACAGGAGGGTTTAGTGGTAGGGCATCTCAATGCAAGCAATAATAGTGTTTAATTATAGATTAGTAGTTCTCCTAATCTCATAACTCATAGGTCAATGTTAGTGCTGTGAGGTGAACTGAAGCCCTCCCAAAATGAGATTGTTTGTGTCAAAGTGACACAATATTTTAATTAAATATAGTTAACTGTCTTTCCATTTCTCTTTAAGAATGATCTGTGTTGATAAGGAAAATAGCTTGATGTAAAATATATATATATATATATATATATATATATATATATTCTGAAAGATCACATGACAGGAGCATTGATTTCTAACCTGATTCCAGACCATGGTTATGAAAATAAAGTTCTTTATAGGGCACAGGAAAAGCTTGCTGTGACAATCAGTGTAATTACAGACATAGATTATGCAATGTACATAAACTAAATGAACCAGGGGGCCTATGTGCATTTCTAGGTGTGTCATTTTCTGTGGAAGGGATGATTCACTGCAGTAACACGTACATGGGTTCTCTTTGGATTGATCTTGTATTCCCACGTAAAATATTTTTGAATCAATAATGAAGAGATGCGGCTTACACAGAATCCAGAGTTCGTTGCTTCTGTTTGGGGCAAAACTTTAAAATATATATGTAAATTGGATAAAATGTGATTGTGCCAGTAGTGAGTTAAAAAAATTGGCAACTCTTCATAACTAAAAAATCACTAGAATCTCACTATTCTATAATTATATTTTTCCTAAAAGGAATACAGAAAAATAAACAAATGCCTATCCAGATGTGGTTGAGGCTTTACTCTCCACATGGCCTGATTGGCTGTTATTAAGAGACCTCTAATCAAGCTTGATAGATATTTCTTGAAATGATGCATGGTATGCAGTGCATGCTTTCATTGTGCTTCCTGCCATTATGGAATAATGCGTCTTATTTGGAAATACAATGATTATTTCTGTTAAATCACGCTCAGTGAGCTTATATAATAACACCTATATTTTGTGAATCATTTCAGATTTCAGAGAGCTATGCCTTCCTACCAAGAGAAGCGGTGACTCGATTTCTAATGAGCTGCTCAGAATGCCAGAAAAGAATGCATTTAAACCCAGATGGAACAGATCATAAAGGTAGCTGCAGTGTCAAATTGTGAGATTTAAAGTAATTTTATTCATAATGGCAATTTATATCTCACATTTTTTATAAGACTGTAGTAGACTGAAACAGTTCAACAAGTCAGATCATCTCATTTATTCAAGTAGAATGAAGTGAATTTTGAATACCCACTTACAAAGTAATTCAGTGCCCATTCCTAGAATAAAGTTTCAGCTGTGGAAAACATTTTTCCCTATAATAGTGTTTTAATTTCCATCTATTGTGGAATTCCTTGGTATTTAAGATCTATTCAGCAAGGAAATTGATTTCTGTCACTGACCTTTTAAGTTTAGCTATTTCTCATTTCTAGAAATCAGTGAATTATACAAGTATTCCTTCAATAAAAAGTTTCTATGTAAAAATTGATTTGGTTTTAGATATCATTAAAATTTTTCAGATAGTTTTCCTAAATGCATATTTATCTCAGTGATTAAATTATTCTCAGAGATAAATTTGTGTTACTGATTCCCATGTATTTAAGAGAAGCCTGAGCAATAAAAGAAAGTAAAAGTCAATTTCCTGTGGCACTTAGATGTAATGTAGAAAGTAATTGTGCAGCAAATGAGGAAAATACAAATATCTGTGTTTAATCACTATTTTAGCTTCAGTTTGGTTCCCCAAAATATTTAAAAATTCCCGTGTAGTTAGAAATAATTACCTTACTCATATTTTTATTTTGCACCAACACACCTTTATGGAAACTCACCAATCATTTTTCCTTTTTTTCCTGAAAATCATCTACAATGCTACCAAGTCTTTAAACTCTTGGTGTCTAGAAACATTTTAACTTGGAAAGCTTGGATCATTCTGAAGTGGCAGATAAAATGCAGTATGACTTTTATTACCCATTAAAAATGTTTTGTTACAGATAATGGAAAGCCTCCCACTTTGGTGACGAGCATGATTGACTACAACATGCCAATTACCATGGCCTATATGAAGCATATGAAGTTGCAGCTGCTCAACTCACAGCAAGATGAGGTAAAATGAAAACATCCATGTGTGCATCGCTTAAAAATGGGAGTGAAGTCTGATAACCATGACTATTGTAATAAGCATGATGGCATTTTGCAAGGAGTAATTTATTTTTTAATGAAAAATTCACCAGGCTTGCACAGATCAGGAAAACAGGAAGTGATTCCATGTGCTGGATACAGAGTCCTGTCTTAACCAACCCTAGTGCTATGTGGGAATTCTACTATTCCTAAAAAGATCCATTTTCCTTACTCGAGCACCACTGAGTTAGTGTTGGTAGAATATTGGAAAGTTCATAGCAAAGGAAAGTTAAAATATGTTTAATGATGAGCATCTAAAGAAATTTGAGCTCTAAGGGCATTTTGTCAATCAAAAAATCAATTTTATAGGCATCTCAAGTATCGTTTCTTCACCGTTCATATCTTGCCTATCTTTTAGTTGTTTCTCTCTAAACCATTATTTGATGTGTTTGTTCACTTCTCTGCAATTTATAAAGAATATCTATGGTGATTTTTCTTAATTGAAAGTATTTTGATGTTTCAAATTATTCTATTCAATTTGTACAGTGAGAATTTAGCAATGTGCTGGCATGTTTTAGATATTCAACTCGTATTTGTTAAATATTCTCTACAAATCTAGTCATTGCTCATTTTAGTTGAATAATCTCAAAAACATAGGTTAAGGTATACATGTGCACTATGAACATTCTCCAAGATATGCAAAAAAAGACAATGCACAGTAGGGATCTAGTAAATCCTTGCTATTAGTTGGCAATCAGTTGGTAACCATTAATAGTAGAAAAATACAAATTATTCATACTAGGAATAGATACTCAGGCTAAAATATTCCCTCCTTGAAATTTTTCTGGAATGGAAAAGATGGTATTTCACTTTTAAAATGTAACATTCTTCAATAAAGCATCATTAAAATCTCTTAAAATTATTTTGTTGAGCTAGCTTCACTCATAAAGCTCAAATCAATCTTTTTTCTCCTCTGTATTTGACCAACTTTAATCTTGAAACTGCATTTATAAAATTTCTTGATCTCAGTATATTTTATTCATGGTATGCTCTCTAAGAATATCTTTATTCATGCTATGGCAGTATCGTGTTACCAGATGGCTAACTATAAATGATTGAATAAATAGCAATAAAATCATTAGGCTGAAGACATCAGAGATAATTAAGACATATTAGTGCCTGTCTATTCCTGAGAATGAAAAATACCATCCGCGTGATTTATTACCTAATTGAAAAAAGCTAGTCTCATAAATGAGTTAAAGCTGTCAAATTATTTGTAAGAATCTGATTTATATTCTGATATTTTTTCTAGGCAAAATCGTGAAATCAGCTTTGTGTCAACAATAGAATCCATATATGCTGTGTTCTTCTGACTTCTAAAAACATCATAAATATTTTATACAAAAGAAATCCTTTTAAATTTAAAACTGGATTAGGGAAATGTTTCTTATTTTTCCACTTTGAAGATTTTAAATTGGATTGCACTATCTTAAAATATTCAGATAAACCACTAGTTAGATTAATCGCAAAATTTTAGACAACTGTGATTTTTAAAATATGTGAAGGAGTTTAAGAAAAATCACAATAAAATATAATTCAAGTGAGATATACCATGGTGATGATTTATATTTAAATTTGAATAAACATTAATCCAATAAGTTCACTAGTTCTTTTATTTAGTACCTTCTATGTACCTGGAGGTCTTGGAGATAAGCAATGAATACACTGTCAAAAGAAAATCCTGCCATTGTGAGGCTTATTGTCTAGTGGGAGGATCAAACAACTAAGAAAATAAAGCATAAGTATATAAAATAAAGCATATGTATATAAAAAGATGCTAAATGCTATTAAGGGAAATAAAGAAGGCCAAGAATAGATATCCTTGTAAGATCTAGGAATTATAGAATGCAGCTTAGTGATAGAAGCGCATGCCTAGTCTGCACAAAGTGCTGGATTTGATTTCCAGCACCATAAAAATGAATAAACAAGTAACTTTATTGCAAAAATATAACTTGAACAGAACTGAAGAAAACATGATATCTATTAGGGATATAGCCCTTCTAGGCAAGTGCACTTTCAGTAGTACAGAGACAAGAAGAACATGGTGGAAGCAAAATGAACAAAAGGAAGTATAGCAGTAGAGAAGTTTAGAGAGATGGTGAACTCAAGTCATGTAGGGCCTTAGATTTTAATGATAATTCCTCCTTTTTTTCCTGTGGGTAAAATCCATAGATCACTTTTATCAGAAGTCATGTGATTGGATCTTTTTTTTTGTTTTCTTGGTACCAGGTTGACCTTGCAGTTGAAAGCAGGAGCTTATGCCACTGAGCTAAATCCCCAGCCCCTGGGTCTGTACTTCAGCAGAGTTACAGAGATTTCTCTGATGAGAATAAACTGAAGAGGATAAAAGGGAAGGAGAGGGAAGAAAGCAAATGAAAAAGAAATTAAGATATGTTATATATAGGTACCAACTACAAACAAAGAGCATAAACTTTACATATTGCAAACATTTACTAATGTCACTTTCTCATTGCTGGGTCAAAATATGTGAGCCATAAGTTAAACAAGCAAGTGTTTATTTTTGCTCATAGTTTGTATAGGGTGGCAAAGCAGAGGAGCATGGAAGAGGAGAAACAGTCCATAGCATGGGAGGTAGGAAACAGCTTTCCTTCTTTCCCTTTTTATTCCATCAGGGCCACAAGCTTATTGGTTGGTGCCGCCCACATCCAGGGTGTATCTTTCCTCTTCAATAAATCCATCATCCACATCTAGAACTATGTTAAGCCAATCATACGATAGTCCAGTGCCACATAGCCATAATCCAGTCACTTCCAAAAGCCTTTCCTACGAGCACATGAAGCTTTGATAGGGATATCTGTATGTAAGCTATAACATTAATAAAACAAAATTCTAAAAAGAAATCAGTTTGGGTAAAAGTTAAAAAAAAAAACCTCTTTCTGCTTGAAAATTTGTTCTTTGAGAATTTTCTAGTTTTTGTTTCCCCATAAACTTGATACAATTGAAAAGTTAACTACAGTATTAGATAGCATTTTAATAGCAAAATGATCCTGAATTGGTAAACTGTATCAGAAAGATACATATCTGGAAAAATCTTTAGGTTTCCCTGAATTAGATGAACATGTGACTAACATGTTCCTCGTGAGGACCTTAGAAGCATTAACTGTGGGTTTATGAGACCTTGTCTCTTTTGGGAGAAGAATATTCTTTGCCAGGTTCTCAGCCTACCCAGTTTTATTACTGTTGTCTCATACTGGTGCTCTCACAGGGAAAGATGATAAGCTAGGTCAATCCTCTGATCTGCTGTGGGAGGAAACTCCCCATGTTAGCTACCTCTTTATGTTTTCACATTTCAAATTAACCTGATGCCAAGAGTGGACAGCGGTAGTTTTAGGAATATACATTTTAGTTGATTCTGATGAGATGTCACAGTGAATGTTTCCTGAGATAAGAATAGTGGCTTGAATTAGAAAGGTAATAGTTAAGTAAAAAGTGATCAGATTATACATATATTTTTTCTTAATTTTAAAAACAAAAAAGGACAAAATGATATAGGATTTCAGTAACAAAATAGTAAGTTAACACTAGTTAATATATTACATCTTGTTATTTTAATATATTACATCTTGTTATTTTAAAAGTTGTTATAGGTGCCGGGGATATAGCTCAGCCTCACAATGCCTGCCTGCCAAGCATAAGGTCATGAGTTTGATCCCTGGTACCAAAAAACAAAACAAAAACCCAAAAGTACTTGTTAAAGTTTGAGATTCACTGAGAGATTGAATGTAGTTATCCAAGAAAGTGGAAGGTTAATGGTAATTTCAAATTTTTAAATTTAAGCCAGTTGTATAGAATTGCTATTAACTAGTATAGAAAAGGTTGTGTGTAGAAAAGTTTTGATACATGGTATTGAAAGTTCAATTATAAGCTCTTTATTAAGACTCCAAATAAATTTAGACGTTTGTTAAACATTCCAGTGAGTTGGTTAGTTAGAAAGTTGGCATGTGGGATTAAAAGCAAAGAACCAAGTCAAACAGAATCTTGGACCCTATTGACAAGCCCTGTGCCTCTTAAGGTCATGACTATACTGAAGAATAAAGCCCAATGTCTTTTCCTTGGGAAATTCTAATGCTGTACCATCTGGAAGATGAGAAGGAGCCACAGAGAATACTGAGAAACAATTGCTAAAATATTAGTAGGAGTTTAAGAGAGTTTGTAAACTGCAAGATAGCTGGAGAAACTATTTTACAGAGTTCAGAGTAATTTATTGTATCAAATAGGCTGATAGGTCAATTTAAAATACAACAAACCAATGGATCTGTTATTTAGCCATGCATTTCTGATCAAAACAGCTTTTTGGATGGGGGAGATGAAGGGAAATGTGCTTTTTTTTTCTTTTTTCTTTTTCTGTCTTTTTCCTTTTTATCGGTACCGGGGATCAAACTCACGACTGCCTGCTTGCAAGGCAGGCCCTTATGCCACTGAGCTAAATCCCCAGTCCCAGGAAAAGTGCTTTGTGAAAGCCTGATTAGAGTGAGTACAAAGAAAACTAGAGGGAAAAAGGTCATTAGATCATTATACAGTTTTGCTATGGAGGGAGCAGAGGAAGGGGACAAGAGATGTAGACTGGGAATATGATGTATTTTTTATGTTTATTTTTCTAAGATTGGATGAAAGTAGAATATTTGCATGTTGATAGGAATTATTCAGCAGAAGGAAAAACTGAGTCAGAGGAAAGAACGAAGTGAAGAAGAGAACGAAGAGAACTGATGAAGCAATGTTCTTGACATTTGTAAAGCAATTTCTTATATAAAGTTGGGAGGGCTAACTTCAGAACAGAGCACAGACCGGAAGGATCAGATAACAGCAAGTAAATGGTGATGGAGCTTGTGGAAATGTTCTGCCATTTGACCTGAGTTCCTCAGCAGAAATGGACGAATGGAGATGTTTGGGAAAATGTTGGAAATT